TTTTATTCTTATTTCTTGTTTAAAATATAAGTTCTTTATTGATTAGAATATGATTTCTAATTAGATTAGGATTTTATTAGTTTTCTTATTTTAGTTTTATATTTATATTTACCAAGACCAACTTAAAGCACCAGCAGAAGAATTATATTTATATTTACCAAGAAAAATTGGGGTTCAGATTACATCTGCCGTTGTTTGAAATCCCATTCAAACTCAAGTAAATATTTTTAAAAATTAAGAGAATACAAGTTACTAGAAGTCTAACTCAACAACTGATTTTACTAAGATAAGGCATGCAACTAGGAATTCAATTCAGTTGACCTCCTTTCTTTGAAGTCCTGTTTAAACTCAATTAAACATTTCTAATAGTTAAACCAAACTCAACAACTACTAAGACAACACATATGACACTAGGAATTTAATCCAGTTGACTATCATTTCGTGTCATGTGTCAAAAATAAGGAAAGGGATAGGAGGAATTCCCATTTATTTCCAAGTTAATCATAAAGAATAAACCCTGAAACCAGAAAAAATACTGCTAGGTTCAAATCAAAACTAACAGAAACAAAATAAGACTTCTCCTTTCCCATAATTAACCTCTAAATTCAACCGGCCCATCAAAAATTCAACTGAATCGAACAGTTAAATAAGAAACCGCAGAGATATTGCATTTTTTATTATAATGAGAAGTCATACTTGTCAAAAAATAAAAATATTTTGAAGAAAGTGAAACATACCCGGTGATTCAATTTCAATAGCCTTTACAGCTCTAAACTCAATCGAATCGCCTGCACCACCATCACCACCCATGTCTGCGTCTTCCCTATTTTTCCTCTTATTGCTACAAGGACGCAAAGGCGGAAAAGAACCCTTTAACCCACGAGAAGAACAAGCCGCGCTGCCATCACCAGTACTCAAATTATGGCTCTCCCTATTTTCCTTCTTATTATTGCTAGGCTGCAAATCCAACAAACCACCCTTAACCTCGCGTGAAGAATCATCCGAATCACCACCACCGTTCGCCAAAACTCGATTTCCTTCATTTTCCCTCTTCGTATTATTACAAGACTTCAAAGGGTAGAAAATGCTCCCAATAGAGGAGCCGGAGCCCAATTGCGCTTCATAAATATCATCATCATCAACTTCGAGAATGGAAAGTAAAGAAGCAGAAGCCCTAGCTCCACAGATTTCACAACTTGTGCTTTGATATGGGTTCAAGAAAGTGCAGTCTTTGCACGCCCATTTAGGTTTTGCCGGTGATGATGATGATGATGATTGCTGTGGTTGTGCAGATAGGCAGATTTGGCAGGATGATTTTTGGAACGGTGGATTGATGAAAGTGCACTTTGAGCATGTCCACGACATTGTGATCAAACGAAGGGTTCTCTTGGGGAGACGAAAAAAGAGAAATCTTGGGCTTGTTATTATGCGGGCGGAAGGAAGTGAGTAATGCCATTTTGAAATTGGAATTGGGCTCATCGTTTTGCCGCTTTTGTCCTTGGGATTAATATATTTAAAAAAAAAGAGTAATGCTACAGGTATATAAACATTTACATAAGGGTTCACATAATTACACGTGGTACATCATCCAACTTTTAATTCAAATTTTACACTTACACATCAACAACTGAATGATTGACACATCACTATTATGTGCACCATTATGTGCATCATTATGTGCCTCTAGCATTATTCTTAAAAAATTCGCGACTTCTAAGCTCTTTCCTCGTTTTCTTGTCAGTGTTAGCAAGTGTTGCTTTGGTGAAAAAATTGCGTACAATTTAAACTATTTAATAATGTATTGTTACGTGACAAAGTGTAAAAAAAAATATAAAATATGATATACATGTAGCATAATTGATAAAAAAAAATAGTTTGATCGTTTAATCACTTGCCAAACAAGGGGTTTGAAGGAACTCTATACATTCACCCAGAATCTTAAATGGGACAAGTGTGTGGCTCAGCAAGCCCAACTGGTATTTTCAATGGCTCCTTCAGTTTAAACGCCCGGGTACACAACCCCACCTCCCCCCTCACAATGAGGGGGGCCCGAGGTGAATAAAATAATGGGGCGGGCAGCAGGCCCCCCATTTTGAGGGGGGTTGGGGTTGGGGTCGGGTACACGAGCATTTGGGGTGTGGGGTCGGGTAGCAAAACCCATTATTCTAAGGGCAGAGAAGCCTGCGCAAGCTATTTACACGTCTATACACGAGAAGTTCCATATTCATAGTCTAGTCCACAAATGAAATGCGAGGGAAGCCATCGAAAAATCACTTGACACTGCAAAGGTTGTTTTGAGTATTGGGACGCAATCATATACCAAGCAGAGCCAGATTCGACTTCAATGGGAAAAGAAAATGGAGCACATGAGTGTTTTAAGAGAAGAAAAAGGGGAAAGAAATAGTCTGTCCCTTGTTTGAAAAATAACTTTTTAGGACAATTGATTACTTCTCGGAATATTAAGCTTTTAGGTAGAGCACTTAATTCTGTATGATTTTTCCTTTATAATATTAGAGTACCAGCACCAAACAATCATTAGACACAACAATTTTCACAAGGAAAACGCCAAAATATGAGTCGTGTGCCCCAAAAATATAAACAAACAGTGACAGTTGGGAAAAATTCAGCCGAAACAAAAGCTTTAATATTTATTTGTACCTTTACATTTAATCATGGAACGAATGAATAATAAAACAAACAAAAAGAGGCACCGGAGATCACGTATAAACCCATGTTGAATACGCTCATTCTGGCGCCATGGAAGCCGATCAATCCCATTGTGCCTGCACTACTTACTTCCGTGGAGTTCACTGCCTGGCTCGCCTTGTTATTGCTAGGCTTCTTACTGCATTGTAAGAACAGATACACAAAGCGTGTCAGAAATATTTCATTTATGTAATCAAATTGATAAAAGCACGGTAATTACGCTTACCTTCCAGGAAAAACACAACTGCCATGACCTGCAAATTTCACCAGAACAAAAGGACATATTTTATATGGCATTTTAAAGAACTGAAGCATGAATACAAAATAATTGCGGCCAAAGATGGCTAGACTCCTAATTATACTCACACATATATAGACAGTGCCTCCTATTCCATGTCAAAGTAGAACTTGAATTGGACTTTTTCGACAGAAAATTATAATTTCTAACATCCAATTTGCAAAACAAATTGCTAGTGTTCTTCCCACCATTCAATTTGAAACTAGACAATGTGTTTCTGTAGTTCTGCCCATTGCTAGTGTTCTTCCCACCATTCAATTGAAACTAGAAAATGCGTTTCTGTAGTTCTGCCCATGTGAGCACCTCTGTTATATCGAATTTCACATTGCCATGTTGTGTCCTCAAACATAATAATACACCAACGAGATCTAGATTTTAGTTTCTTTTTCTTTCTTAACGAGATGTAATCCTATACAATCCACCTTTATAAACATAAGATGTAGGAAAATAGAACTCCCTTATTGCTAATAGACAAATAAACAACTGATAATCTAATCAACATTTCAAAATCTAACAGTATACATCTACAACCAAACATAAATATTGCAGTTTCTGTCTTTTCACCAGGAAATTCAACTGTAAAATCAAGAAGTTGGGGCTGGAATCCATTATTATCAAGTAAATCACTTACTTGGATCAGTAGTGGTGATCATGGCTGCACCCTTAAAATCACAAGAACCAGGGGAATTCCCTTCCTTCTGGTAATAACTATCGAAGGCATAAGATGCGTGGTTCTTCACGTTATTAGGCTGATAACAACTCTCCCCTGGCTGAATCTCCGAGCAATTTGCTCTCCCCGGTCCACAAGACCAATCCAAAGCAGCCTGCAATGTTTTTGCATCAATGCCGTCCATGGCTATGCAATATGTTTGATTTGTTGTGTCATTGGCCAAAAATGTACCACTCCCTGACACGTGAAGCAAGTAAACAGCTGTCGAATTCCCATAAAAGAGTCCCCAGTTCGCCTCAGACACAGGTGAAGACCTCAAATCCTCATTAAACAACTCATATACATATACATTAGAAGTAATTTCCGGATGCAATGGTGTTCCACTACGATCAAAAATGTGCTTAATCAAATTTGAATTGTAAGTGTCTGCATTGTCAATCGTAGCATAAGGTTCCTTCGAATCCCCTTTCGAAGGCCACCCCGTTTCAGTAACAAGAACTATCACATCAGTAACATTAAGATTCTTCATAGAAAAATACACTGAATCAATCATAGCATCAAGAACATTAGTATAGTGCAGCAAAGTATTAGGATCAACCATTTCTTTCGAGGGTGTCAAGGGCTTAAACAAAGAATTATCCAAAGGCACAACACCCTTATTCTCCATAAACACATAGTAAGGATATAAATTCATCATCAAAGGCGACTGGGTCCTAGAACAAAATTGCAATAGTTGTGAAATGACAGGGCTCAAACTTTGATTGAAAAAGGCCTGGGAGGGTGGGAAAGGGTCAAGAACAATTGAAGCAGCATTTGGAGTTGAAATCGTGATTTGGTTATGCAAATTTGCAGCCACGAGAGCACTGTAGAGTGACTCAATTGCTGGCATAAGCAAAGGAGCTGAACTTGTAACAGTAGTCAACACCTCATCACCCACTGCCACGGCGGTGATGAGCGTTTCAGGGTAGTACGCCGCCACATTGCGGCCAATCCATGTGGCGGCGGTGACATTGGAGGACCCAATAGCAAGAAGCTGGTTATT